TGGTAGAGCGCTCACCTTGAGCTGAAGAGCTAAGGGACAGCATCCAGGCCCAGAGTTCAAGCCCCATGACCGACAAAAAAAAAAAAAAAATATATATATATATATATATAGAGAGAGAGAGAGAGAGAGAGAGAGAGATGCCTAAATATATTAATTATGCTTATATAATTTTTGTTCTCATTTCTCTATTTTTTGTATTGTATACCTATTTAATAATTTCTTTTTTTTTTTTTTTTGCTGGTCCTGGGCCTTGAACTCTGGGCATGGACACAGTCTATAAGCTCCTTTTGCTCAAAGCTAGCACACCACCACTTGAACTACAGCAACACTTCTGGCTTTTTCTATGATTAATTGGAGATAAGAGTCTCATGGACTTTCTTGCCCCGGCTGGCTTCAAACTGTGATCCTCAGATATCAGGCTTATAAGGAACTAGGATTACAGGCATGAGCCATCAGCGCTTAGCTAATAATTTTTTGTTTGCAGTACTAGAATTTGAACTCAGAGCCTTATGCTCGCTAGGCAGGTGTTCTGTCACTGAGGCCTCCAGGCTCTCTGAATGCTTATAGTAATACAGGGTCACTCAGCAGTGGACAATTTTTCTACAGTTGTCTGTGGAGTTGGTCATGTCTCTGTTAATATAATCTTCCTGAAATCAAGGACCAGATCTTCTTTAGTGTTCATAGAAATCATCAAGGCTTAGGCAAATAATTGATTGTTAACTAATCTATTTTTAATGTTAGAGCAGTGGTTGTACAGAATAGAGGAAGCGTTTTTGTATGAATGGAAACATCCAACAACATCTAGAGACATCACCAGTTGTCAGGTGGGCGTAGGGACACCATTATTTGTACCTAGTGGGCAGAAGCCAGGGATGCTATTAAACTTCTTACATTGTACCAAAAATGTTTCCCACAGCAAAAAATTCTCTAGTCCAAATTATTAATAGGCTTGAGGTTTAGAAAGTCATAAGAAAGTAAGGAAAATGTTTGCCTAATGCTTTCAGAACCATGACTTTGAGATCGTCTCATGAGATAATCGTTGGTTGTAGTCAAGCATAATAAATCCCTCTCCCAGCACAGGAACAAAAATTGTTCTTGTTCTACTCAGTAACTTTATCAGTAACCTAGGAGAGGTTGGCAGATGATATACTTATCATTTCTGTTAGAGACACAGAACTGAGATAACAGAGTCAGAATTGAAAATAATTTAGGAGCTGAGTTGTGCACTGACACAAATGGATGGACACTGGATAAGGAAGAAAATACAGCACACACTTCATATCCAAAGCATCCACTAGGCTCTGTGTGCTGGTGACTCATGCCTGTAATCTTAGCTACTCAGGGGGCTGAGATCTGAGGATCTAGGTTTAAAGCCAGCTCATGAAAAAAAAAAAAAAAAGGTCCACAAGACTCTTCTCTTCAATTAACCAGCAAAACGCTAAAAGTAGAAGCATGACTCACGTGTAGAGAGATAACCTTGTGTGGAAGGGGAATAACAAGATGGGAAACAGGACAAAGAGTGACCCAATACAACAATAATACTCACAAGACGCTAGTTTGGAAATCAGCTTTACAACTTCAGGAAGGTGGCGGGAAAGAGGAATGGGGGTGAGGGATAGTGGGAGAAAAACAAAGGAGGGGGCAACAATGTTCAACAAGAAATATACTCATTACCTTACTTATGTAACCGTAACCCCTCTGTACAGCACCTTTACAACAAAATAAAATATAATTTAAAAAATGAAAGCAAGAATTTGAGGCCCTGAGTTCAAGCCCCAGTACCAACACACACACACACACACACATGCACGCACACACACATGCACACAGGCACACCCAAATCTATTAGATGATCCCCAAAATTAGTCTTCTTCTAGTCTTTTTTTCTTTTTAGGTCTGAGACCAGAACTCAAAATCTGTACCTGCTGCTTTCATTCATTGGCTAGCACTCTACCAATTGATCCATGCCTCCAATTGCTTTGAAGTAGACTTATTCTAGTCATGCAAAAATTACTTAGGTATTTTCAATGATTGATTATAAGTTCAGTAAATACTAAAAAGGGCTTGTGCTCAAGCTGCTAAAAACAAATTAATGCCTTATTACTTCTTTTCTTTTTTTTTTTTTTTGTCCAGGACTCCAATTCATTACCTGACACTTTCACTTACTGGCTGGTGCTCTACCTCCTGAACCATGCCTCCAGCCCAATAATGCCCTATTAATGGAAGTAGAATGTCCAGAAACAGAAGACCATAGGTATTTTGTTATACACTACAATCCATTAGGATGAAAAACAAAAAAGCTTAGTCAGACCCATCTGAATTTGCTTAGGTTTGACTCTGTTACGCTAGCTCTAGAACCTAGTTCTAAAATAAGTTGCTAAGCTTTGCTCTGACTACTTAAATTCTTTCCTTGTCTATAAAATAGTACTTTCCACAAGGAATCATTTTACAGATTAAATGTGATAATATGTGTAAAGTTATTAAAGCAGTACCTAGAATACAATAGGCTTTCAGTTCATGGAAGTTACTGTTCTGTTTGAAGACTATCTAATTATCTAATTATTCTTCCCTCCTAGAAAAAATATCTTAACCTATTGGTTGAAACTCATAGTTGCAAACTTGGTCATAGTGAAATGCCCATTAGTTAACTTACAGTTTTCAAAACACCACAAAACTATAGTCTATTAATATAAATAAACATGTAATTTTGTGCTATATCAATTCTTATACTATTTATTTATTTAGGATGGTACTAGACATCAAGACTTGAGCCTAAGCACTTGGCAAGTGCTCCACCACTGAGCTACATGTCAGTCATCTCTTGTACTATATTCTAATGAAAACAAATAGTAGAACTAAGTGTTGTGGTATATATCTGTAATCCCAGTTACTGGGGTGGTCAAAAAAGCAAAGTTATTGAAACTTTATCTCAGAAACAGAATGAAAACAAAAGAGCTGAGCCCATGAGGCCAGCTGTTATATAGCGCACTCAAATCCCTGGGTTCAATCCCTAGTACTGGGAAACACACACACACACACACACATTCAGAGAGAGAGTCAGACATATATATATATATATATATATATATATATATGTATGTATGTATGTATGTATATATATCAGACATTGAGAGAGAGTCAGACAGACAGAGACAGACATAGAGAGACAGAGACAGAAAGACAGCTCATTGACTCAGTCATTTTTTAAAGCCCAGTGATATCCAATATTCTCAGAAAGCTGTCCAATTATCAGAGAGCTGTAGAAAATAAGACAGACATCTATAGAACTTATGGTTCTCAAGAGAAACCAACTGGCCCCTGAGTTAGAAACAAGGTCAAAAAGACTCGTGTTCTCTAATCATTAGGAGCATATTGATAGGGGCTCTCATCCATACTGCAAGTCGAAGGGTCATTGAAAGAACCAGCATCCCATAAGAGCTCAGAAATAGAAGGATGATTATTGAAAAGCTGTGCAATCAGCAGCCAACACGTCCAGGCTTTTCTTCTTCAAAGTTATGACTTCAAATCTCAAGAGTACCCAGTTCAACTCCCCATGGGAACAGAGCTACAGCTCTTACAACTCTAGCCCCAGATCTCAGCACAGTGCCAGGGACAGAGGAGATGCTTTTTATATATTTGCTGAATATGGATGAAGAAAGTGAGTTTGTGCTTATACACATATCTATAGACATAGACACATACAGGAAGTGTGTGTGTATACATATACTACAGTCAGTTCCTTAGTGCAACTCAGACCTCTGGCTGGGATGGGATCCTCCACCCATCGATGTGAATGAGGATGAAGTCACTGTCCCTACCACTATGGGTCCCACTGCAGACTCTTGCCCCACCATCACCACCATCCTCTGCATTCCCTTGCTGCTGGGATTGAAAGTCATTGTATTTCTCTCCTTGTAGGGAAGGAAATGCTGCCCAAACCCAGTTCTTGTTTCAGTAACTTCTTTTGAGGCAAAGCCAAGAATCAGAGTGAGCACCTGCTATGTGAGGGACAAGGGCTCTGCTTGGTCCGTTCCCCCGGCCCCCATGTTTAGAGCTAACAATAGTAATGACTAAGTCTCCCGGAGCAACCAGGACAACGTCTCAGTATTCCCATCCTGGGCTGTTTGGGAGACCTCTGTCAGCCTGATGCCCAGGACTGGCCCACTTTGGTTTCCCCCTGGGGTTTCCTCCACGAGCACCTCCTGGCTGTCAGCTGGGTCCTCATATAAGAGCCTTCTTCCTTGGCCTGCATTTCACCTACTTGTATCAGGTGGCAGACCAGCTGGTTTCAGTCCCAAATCAGGCCTTCTGACTCCTCCCAGAAACCAACCAACTTCAGAGCAGGAAATCTTGCCCCTCCCCAAAGAGTGGGAAACCGCAAAGGAAGAGAGAGATGAAACAGAAGGAAAAGCAGAGGAGGGAAAGAGAGAAGAGGAGCAAAAGAGGAAAGGAGTTCAATAAAAAAGAAGTCAAACCTACTTGGAACCTCACGGTAAGACTTTTCAAAATGGCATTATATATAATAGTATCATCACTGGTAGGTGGGTGTTGAAGATAGAAGGTCAAAAAGAACTACTATTTTTTAAAAAATGATCCTATTGAAATAAACAGGAGGGATGGTATGAAAAGAAATTTCAATGTCAAATGCTGGTCAAAAAGAAAGAAAGGAATGCCCAATGAGCTTTCGGCTGCGTAGGAGGGAAGACATGATAAGATACAGATGGGCCGGGCGGCAGCTGCTGGCACTGAGCACAATCTCATCATTTGGGGACAGAAAGTTAAGTTGGAGCAAAAGTCTTGCAAACGTTAGTGCAAAAAAGAAATTCTGCAAGTCCAAAATTCACTTGGAATCAGAAAATGATTGCAGGTCATAAGCGAGTTTCTTCTTGTTGCTGCTGTTGTTTTAATTTGTAGCATCAGCTTTAAACTAACTGATGACAGAGAGAGACACTATTCTGTATCTCGGGAATTGCTATAAGGGCTGATATCCTTATGTGATATGGAATCATCAGCGGATTTAATATTATTCACATTGAACTCTAGAGCTCGGGGGATGGTTCTTTTATTATTATTATTATCACAAGAAGGCTTTCTTGTCGCACACACCACGGGAGGCCTAAGGTTGACAATCCAAATTCTTCATGTGCTAGTACCTTTCCCTTCAGCCCAGCCTGGCTGCTCAAGATATTGACCTTCTACACTTAAAAGAGCCTGTTCAGAGAGAATTCCAAAACACTTTTTCCCCCTCAGGGCAACAAATTAGAAAAACCCTGACAGGAAAAGGAAATGCCATTCCCCACCCTCTCCGCTTACCCAAACCCTCACTTGCCATCAATAGAGAGAATCATCCAGAGGATTGTGGTTGACTGATCCAATCACTTGAAGGGATTAAAATAGCTAGACTCCTGCTTCAGAAAACATCTATAGATGATGATGCTGTGTTTTCACGAATGCTGGCTTTAAGAGTCATGTTCCCTCAGCTTTTCCAATAGAGCTTAACAGTATCAGAGGAATATACTTGAAGTGGGTTTTGGTTTGGTTTGTGCATTTTTGTGTATTTTGTTTTGGGGATGTGTGTGTGTGTGTGTGTGTGTGTGTGTGTGTGTGAGTGTTTCTCTCTGAGGTTTGTATGAGTTCATTAGAAGCTGAAAGGAGGGTAGGAGAAGAAAGGAAAAACAGAACGATCTTGCTCCTGCTTGTTTGCCAAGATTTTAAAGGAATTGCCTTCCCCACTATATAGTATGGTATGAAAATAAAATCCCCAAATCCTAGCTCTTTCTTAATACTCATTCCAGTACTGCTAAAATCTCCTTGCATTCAATTTCTGAGCTGGAACAAATCTAATTTAATTCCTCTCCTTTGCCAGGTGAGGAAATCAAAGCCAAGACAAGGGAAGGGCCTCGCTCATAGTCACATCCATCAGTGGAGGGGAAACAGAACCTCCCCTGTCCTGACCCAGGGTCCTTTCAAGAAATCACCCCAAATTTACACGAGTACCCTAGGTGCCCAAGAGCTCATAAAGACTGCATCTGCTGATGGAATGGGATATTTCGTTAAAAGATGTTCAAGTAACTTCACCTGGTCAAAACAGCAAGAAAGATTTCCTTTCTGGTTATACCATTCCAGTCTATTTCTAACTGTTAGGTAACCAGACAGTAGGCAAAGGATCTAAGGCAGATTTTTCATGAGAGAACTAGAATATTCTTCTATATCTATTAATGATCCTTATCTTTTTTTCTATAATCCTCATATTATCTTGGGTTTTTGTTTCTTTTTTTGTTAGATGGTTTTTTTTGTTGTTGTTTTTATGCTGGTCTTGAGGCTTGATCTCTGGGCCTGGGATCTCTGGGCCTGGGTGCTGTCCTTGATCTTCTTTTGCTCAAGGTTAGTACTCTACCACCTGAGCTACAGTGCTACTTCAGTTTTTTCTGAGAATTTTATTGGAGATAAAGAGTCTCACAGAGTTTCCTTCCTGGGATGGCTCTGAACCAAGATCCTCAGATCTCAGCCTCCTGAGTAGCCAAGATTAGAAGCATGAGCCATTGGTGCCCAGCTACCCTCATTTTACACACAATATTTTTAAGTTTGCTCAGAGGGAATAAGATCCTATTTATTCTGGATCACTTGTTGGGAGGCGCAGGCCCTCTAGACTAATGAATATACATAACTAAAGGACAATAACTAAAGAACTTAGTCAGTCCCCTCCCCAGGGCTCTAGCCCTTTCAATGTATTCAAGGTTCTTCTGACATGCCATGCAGTCTCTTGACTACTTAGTTGACCACATGCAGTTCTCTCTGCTTGGAATGTCTCCACAAGTCACACTTAGCCTTCCAAACTGAGCTGGAAGGCCATCTCTACCCAGGAGCCTTTGCTGTTACCCTGGCTGATTTGGGTCACATCCTATGTTTCGGTTGCGCTCCATGTATACTCCCAGTATGATTTATTATCACAGTCTATACAGCTATGGCTCTAATTTTGAAGGCAGAATCCACATATCAGTGTTTTCATGTCGCCAGCTCCTTGCACAATTTCAGATCTTTATTAGGCTCAAACACTTTATGAAAAGTGAATGAGCAAACAATGGAAATATTTCCTGTCCTTTTCTTCCATTAATGATTTAGTAAAGTCTCATTCTTGGGTAACTTGGGAAGGGGAAACAAAAGATGTCATTATTAGAATCTTCTCTCTTTTTGAAACCAGCAGGCCACTCCTAAAAGTCTATCCAAGGTTAAATGTGGCATCAAAAGAAGGTATTAATTTTATGTTTCCTTAAAAGTACACCGATTACAGTAGAAGAATTCCCATGCAATAAACCACAAGGACAATGAGAACAGAGCATGATGAGATGAGAACATGGGTCTTAGAGAACAACAGGTGAGAGATGTCAACACCATCTTTGAAGATGTAGACGGACAAGTGATAAGTGACTGAGCAAACCTGAGATCTCTGAAGTCCAAGCACTCACGATGGAAGGTTGATAAGAAGCCAGGACCCCAGAAGGGTCCAGGAGATGAGGGCATTAAGAGCCTCAGAAAGCAATGAGAGAGATGGGAGTAAAAATAGGAGGACACACTTGCCATCCATACTTCCTTTCCACCCAAGGAAGGAAAACTTATCTTTGGAGGAGAACTTGATAGATCGATAGATACCAGAAGCCAGATATCAGACTCAGAGACACCAGGCGTGGTAGAGGGTGGGGTTATATACAGAGAAACAGTGGGACAGAAAGCCTTCATACTGAAAGATGAGATTCTCCAGCCCCTTCTTCTGGCTCAGCTCCCAGAACAAGAGCAGCTTCGCTTCTAACCCCTCTCCACCCACCTTACCCAAGTCCATAACAAGCAAAAGAATTAAGAAGTCATCCCTGCAGAAAGAATCCAACCAAAGGGAACAATAACAACAACAACAAAAAAAACTAACAAACACAGAGAGATAGAAATGTCCAACAGGCAAGGGATGAAGTATAAGAATGATGAGGTTGGGATGAAAAGCAATGATACTAAAGACCCAGCAGAGGTAATCCACCAAATAGGAAACCATTACCAGCCACAGCACAGCAATATCACTGTCTCCAAAGACATAAGGGAAGCTAGGGCATGCATGAATTAAGACCACGAAGCCATCTTTTTTTAAAGTGCAGAGAACAAGAAAAAAAAAACCAGCTCTTTAATCTAAAAATACAACTGAAAATTTTAAAATTATAATGAAGCCTCAGAAGATAAAATTATGGAATTCCCCAAAAAAAAGTAGGACAAAAAAGAAAACCATGAAAAAAGACCAAAAAGGAAAACAAAAAAAGGTATGAAACTTAAAAGATCAGTCAAGTCTAATAAGAATTCCCAAAAGTCAGCACTGAGAAAATGAAAAGGAATGGAAATAATTCCTCCAAAAACAAAAAGAAGAAAGGCTTTCATCAAAGCACATTGTTATTGGAAATGGTAGAACCCCAGGATTTTTTTTTTTATCTTAAAAGTTCTAGAAAGAAAAAAAAACAGTTCACAAACCGAGTATCAGAAATCCTAAAAGCATTTTGACTTCTCAGTGTCAACACGGGAAGCTGGACACTGAAAGGCAATACAACACTGTCTTCCAATTTGGGGAGAAAATAATCTTCACTTTAGAAATCCTTACCCAGCCAAAAACAATCAAGGGGAAGGTAAAGTAAGGACAAGCAGACAGGGTCGACCAGAACTGCCACACTGTTTTGTATGTAACAAGGTCAGATAAATTGATATCTACATAAAGATGTTTAAATTGTGAAATAATACTCCCACATGTATGTTTCCCCCTCCCCCAAATCTCTACTATTCACAAAGAAGTACAATAAGAAAGAGGAAAAATAGGAGTTCCCAGGCCATAGTAAAGGGCTATCATAGAGAGCCCAGTTGGAAGACTCCAAAAGAGATGTCTCCAGTTAATTTATTTTTCTTTTTTTGGGGGGGTCCAGTTGTGGGGCCTGAACTCTGGGCCTGGGCGCTGCCCCTCAGCTCTTCAGCTCAAGGCTGGCGCTCTACCACTTGAGCCACAGTGCCACTTCCGACTTTTTTCTTTTTGCTTATGTGGTTCTGAGGAATCGAACCCAGAGCCTCAGGCATGCAAGGCAAGCACTCTACCACTGAGCCACCTTCCCAGCCCAGATGTCTCCAGTTAAAAGAAAAAAAAGGAAAGGAAACAGATATTCAGACATGGCTGTAATCTCAACTACCGAAGAGGCAGAACAGGGAGAATGGCAGTTTTAGGCCAGTTCAGGCAAAAATAAATAGCACTTAAGACTGTCTCATTAAAACAAGCAAAGAAAGCTGGTCACTGGTGGCTCATGCCTGGAATCCTAGCTACTCAGGAGGTTGAAATCTGAGAATCATGGTTCAAAGCCAGGCCCAGGTAGAAAAGTCCATGGGACTCTTATCTCCAATTAGCCACCAGAAAACCAGAAGTGGCACTGTGGCTCAAAGTGCTAGAGTGCTAGCCTTGAGCAAAAAGCTCAGAGACAG